AGCCATAGCGTGCTGGAAAGAGAGTGACAGCTGCTTGTGGATAATTCTGTGCGTGTTCGTCTAACAAAGAGGTGTTTCACATGCTGAGGTAAATGATACCCCCTCCTCTCCATCCCACCATCTCAACCAGACCATCTCTCCTCTCTCCAGGGATTCATCTCTGGGTCAATGCTTCCCTCTGCTGCCCTGGTTGTCATGGTTACAGCCTTAAGCGTCACCCAGGACAACGCACAGAGGTGGGCGTGAGTCTCTGGCTTCAGTGACTTTTGGAGTTTGCCATGAATTATAACAGAGGCACCAAGGGCTGAAGCTGGCTGGCAGTGGCTGAAATATGGCTGCGGTTTTGTTTTGCTGTGATATATGGAGGCAGCAGCGCCGGCCACGGTACGCTGCTCTGGTTGCACTTTATTTCTCAGCGTAGAAATTACTGTGCTTGTTTATGTAGGGGAAACTCGGGGCAGTGGTAATTACAGTATAATGGTGCATAGGGAGTTTTGTTGGTTGGTTGGAGATCAAGAGTTCATAACAACCTGCCTTTAAGGCATGTTTTAATAAGCAAAATGAAAACTGTCCTCCGGTCTTTGAAAAGGCTGAAATGTGCAACAAATTCTCAAGTGTGGTTGGAAAGTCAACGTGTTTCATGTGAGAAGTCGCGATCATGTGTTGGATTTGTGTAGCTGAACATTTGAAGAATAGAATAGATTTAAAGGAAAGAAAACATTAACAGAAGTAGAACTCTGCACATCAGTACAATCATCACATCTGCACATGTGAGAGTGTAAGATGTGGAATTTTGCTGTGTGCCAGGGTTTGAATATGCTTTAGCTTAGATGGAGTTTCACGCCCACTTTGGGCTGCACAAGCAACAGGGATGAGCGCAGCCTTGAGTCAATTGTCAAGAAAGGTTGACTCAAGAGGAAGAAATTCACAAGGAGAGGACTGAGGCTGGTTTTAGTGCATCAAAAGCCATCAGCACAGACGTCTTTAGGAAACGGGCTACAACTGTCGCATTCCTAATATCAAGCAACTTCTGAATCAGAGGCAACGTCAGGTTCCAGAGTCGTCTTTCAGATGAAAGTAAATTTCGCATTTCATTTAGATCACTTCATGCTTCATTTGCTGGGCTTTATGGAGGTGGCGGCTTCTTTTTTCCAGCAGCACTTGACACCTGTCCACAAAGCCAAAACTACGACCAAAAGCTTTGCTTGCAGTAATATTACTGTGCTTGAACTCGCCTGACCTGAGCCCAATAGAACCCAATAACAGGTTATTGTCAAGAGGAAGATGAGGAACATCTCACCAAAGAATACAGACGAGCTGAAGGCTGCTATCAAAGCAACCTGAGCTTTAATAACACCTCAGCACAGGCTTGATGCCACGACGCACTGATGCAGTAATGTGTGATAAAAGAGCCCCCAAGTATTGAGTGATGAATGATGATGAGTAATGAACATACTTTTCAGAAGTTAAGGTAAATCCTTTTTTTGATTGATCTTAGGAAATTTTCTGCCAATTTGGAAAAGTGGATCTCAGATTTTCATCAGCTATAAGCCATAATCAGCTAAAATTAAGCCGAAATCAGAGAGGCTTGAATATTTCACTTTATGTGCAATAAGTCTAGAATTTGCTGCAAGGTGGAGCGGTGGTTAGCACTGTTGCCTCACAGCAGGAAGGTCGCTGGTTCGCGTCCCAGTGAGGACACCCGGGATCTTTCTACGTGGAGTTTGCATGTTCTCCCCGTGCAGCGTGGGTTCTCTCCGGGTTCTCCGGCTTCCTCCCACAAGGTCCAAAAACATGTTGAGGTTAATTGGTGATTCTAAATTGTCCGTAGGTGTGAATGTGAGTGTGCTTGGTTGTCTGTCTCTAAGTGTAGCCCTGTGATAGACTGGTGACCTGTCCAGGGTGTCCCCTGCCTTCACCCTCAGTCAGCTGGGATAGACTCCAGCACCCCAGCGACCCTTGTGAGGATTAAGCGGTGTATAGATAATGGATGGATGGAAGTCTAGAATTTACAAAATGTTCACTTTCTTGGATAATTGCTGAAAATGTGGGTAATATACTAAACAGGTTTTAATTTTGAGGCTGATGGGCGTATGCACATCACCACTCATTGATCCACCATGCCGACGCTGCTGCATTGCCTTATGTAAGCTCAGTGAAGTACACTATCAGCACTATTGTCTGGTCTCATGCTGCCAAGCATATGGATGAATAATATTAAGAATGGATAGTTTGTTTTTCCTTCTTCGCCTCTCTTGCTCATTAATGTGCTCAGCACCCCCTTAATGCCCTCCCCGTGTACCCTCTCTACGAGTTTACCCTCCTGGCACTACTTCCCTCCCTTCCAGTTTGTTTTTAACATTCCTAAAACTCTTGCCTGCTCGTATAATTCCTGTTCTCACTCTGTGCTTGCTCTCTCCTTTACAGCCCTGTTTATCACCTCACCACCTCTTATTTCTCTTTTTTCCCCTTTTCCTTGCTGCTCCCATTACCTTGTTTACATCTTGGGAGGTTAATGTCCATTTTTATCCCAACTGAAATGTCTCAGCATCCACTGGATAGGTTGTTGGTACATTTCAGTAAAATTTTTTCCCAGAGACTAAATTGCGAATAACTAAAAGGTTTTCATATATCCTGTTCAGTATTCAGTCGACGGATGTGCAAAATCTTTGAAGACGTTGTTGGTTCTCGAAAAATAAACGCTACTGACTTTGCTGATCCCCAGACGTCTTCTCTCGTGCCACCGTAAAACTGACATTTGTGTTTTTGTGTGAAATGTCTTAACAACTCTTTGATGTATTTCCATGAAACTTGGTACAGACAGGATGAATTGAAATGCCTTTTGTCTTCCCTTAACTTTTCATCTAACACAGTCATCAGGGACTGTTTTCACACAGATTGACTCTGACTGTGGCTTTAATCAGACTTTTAGTCTTCAGATGGACGTCAAAATTCATCTTTTGCACAAAGCTGCTTTGCTTTGTTGTAACAGAAGGACTGCTCTTGCTTTCACTCCATTAGAAAATGTGGTTACAGGGATCCAGTGTTACAACACAATGTCAGAAACATCCAGTAATTAAATATTCCAAACACAGTAAAGAGCTGCAGCAGATCTGAGATGCTGTTTAATGTTGTAGGACTCAATTTCTCTGCCAGTTTGATAGTCAGATTAGTTAACGTTAATAAACTGAGGCAGCTGATGATATCCTGCATGTTCCAAACATGTTCTGACCTCCTCATGAGAATTTCGTGTTGTTGCTGGTTCCATGACATTGTGAGTAACGGACAACTGATAGGAATCGTGGCTTCTTTCTCTGTTTGTTGCCACTGGTCAGCAAGTGTCACAAGTTTGTTACCATGGACACACTGAAGAGCCAGTGTTACAAGTTTTTAGGCTTAAAATAAGTCTAAAACATTATTGGAGACCAACCCAAGGCCAAACTTTTAATTTGTGTAATACAGTTGTGACTCGATAATCCGACCCTTAACAATCCAAATCCGACAGGTTTTTAGGAAAAACGAATGGAACCCATGAAAAACAACCTTAACATACCGACAGCCTTGGATTCTGACTCCGACATGACATTTTATGTCTCAAATAAGGATAACGGCGTATTATCTGACTTAACAATCCGACAGATTGGCTACGTTCAGACTGCAGGAATTAATGCTCTATTCAGATTTTTTTGTGAAATTAGATTTTTTTGTGAGTTCACATTTCCAATTAAATGCGACTTGTATGTGATCTGCTGTGTGAACTTCATACAACCCAAAAGTGTCCCACATGCACAGAAGAGGACACGATGACGTCACACGCAGCGAGCATGTTCAGTGTTTACGGAAGTAATCACGGATGGTGCCGGCGGCAGCAGTGGCAGCAGTGGCAGCGCCACTCCCCCGCCGCTGCCGCCGCCAGCAATGGTGGAAATAGAAGTGTGACCACTATCCTAAACTAGCATCAGCAGCCAAGTACTGCCTGTGCGTTCTGGCCACTTCCAGCCCATCGGAGTGCACCCCCAGGCTGGAAGTGTCCCCTCTACTGCTCTGAATATTTGGATATTCATCATTAATTGGGCCTGAATATCCAGAGACCAGAAAGTGATATTTGGACCAGCCATAGTGGTTATTATGAACAATAACTGACAACAAATGACCTTTCAAGCATCAAGCCCTCCTTGTATCTCGACCTCCGTCTTGACAATCTGACAGCCTTGCTATCCAACATGAAAGAAGGTTTTACATTTAGTGTTGGACTATTGAGTCACGACTGTATTTTTTCTGACCCAATACCTGCAAAACTAATGTCTTTTTTTGATTGTCCTTAGCTGTACTTTGTGTTTAGTATTTATAAGCAGCTTGGTATAAAACAAAAGTTAGACAATTAGCATGGTTCAAATTAGGTTTGCTACATGCCAGCATGGAAACATTGCCACTCGAGATGCACACTATTGATAAAGAGCTTAATATATCTGCATTACCCCAAATGAATATAGACTGACAGGTGAAACCTGACAGGGGAAAGATTCTGTTTTGTTTGATAATGTTACTTAAAGTTATACTGTGGGTTTTACATGTAAGTTGAAGTTTTTTCCTCCAGTGAACGTGTACATTTGAAAAGCATTGTATTCAATGTCAGTGGGCCGTCAGGATATGGGCATGCATAACAATACGTTTATTCCACTACAGAAGGGCAGAAGAGCTCTTATGTTCTCTGCAATTATAGGTGGAAAAAAATAGGTTTAAGTACCAACAGTAGCAAATAGCCAAAGTGGGCTGGAAAATATAATCTTATCAGATATCAGCTAAAATCCAGTGTGGTGCATCTGTAATTGTCATCGTGAGCATGCTGACATATTGATGTTGGCGCGTTCCCCAGAGCGCTGCCGTGCCAAAGTTACGGCTCAAAGAAGCACTAGCACGGCTGTAGATTCTTGTTTCTACTTTGCTCCGTCCACACGCTAATGTTTTTTTTTTCTGTCTCTTTGCTCTGTTAACCACAGGACTGGGTTTTTCTGACACGCTTTTGCTTTCTCACTGACTTTGGGCGGCTGGATTTTCGGTTCCGATATCCAAAGGTAGGATGACTGATGTAAAGTTTTGTGTGTGTATCATTCATTTTAATCATTTTTTTCCAAATTAGCTCAACAAAATAAGTGTCTTCTTTCTTCACTCTTTTTTTAGTATCTTCCTCTTAAGTAGTTCTCTTTTGCTTTTCTTACCTCATACAAGCTGATGCCACCCTTTTTTATCCCTTTTCTATTCTTTCTCCCTTCAGCTGTTCCTCCTGTACCTTCCTTGCCCTTTTTTTTTTTTTACATCTTTCTATGCATCTGTTGATTCGTCCACTCCTCCTCCTTTTACCCGTGCCTTACTTCACTGTTTTATTCTGCAGACTTTGGGAACAATTTTGTCATATCAATCTCAAACTGTGTCACTGCCTCCTCTCTGATCCGTCCACATCCCAATGCCATCTCCTTCTGTCTCTTCTCTGTGCAGTCTCGCTGCTGTCAGAACATATTGCTCTACTTTGATGACAGTTCTCAATGGCCAGCTGTGTACAAGAGGCCCGAAAAGGTGAGATACACTGACACCCTGTGCATCATGTCTTTTGACAAGCTATTATTAATGCCAAACACTGCTCCTTTCACTTATTCACATGTCACTGTAGTAACAAAAAAGTTCTGTCGCTCCAGTGTGGCTAATTTGTATTTTAACTTGAACTGAAGGATCACAGACTTCTCACGCTGCTCGGAATAAAACAAAGCTGCCATTTCCTGGAAAGTTGACATTTCTGGATGTATTATTGATGGTAGTGGCAGTGATCAAGGATGGTACAGTCCATGCTTTTGAACACAAAGTGGAACAGCAGAGAGTTCTGCTTGAAGTGAAGCCGCTCAACAAAAATGACAGCACAGAGTAGTCTGCAAACAGTTTTTCTCAAACTGATCGTACGGCTCTGAAGGCTGGTTGTGGTAAAAATCTGAAAGTATGTGAATGCATTTTTATTGTTTTGGCCCTAAAGTCTACCACATTAGATTTGAAATAAAACAGTGATTATGGGGTGAAATGCATAATTTGAGCTTAATTTGATAATATTTGCATCAGTTTTGGGTAAATTCCATCCCTCTCTCTGTCCTGCTCAGCTGATCAGAAACTAGGAAACCAGACATACACTGGCTGCGATTCCTGTAATGTTTGGCCAGCATCATTGTGAACACTCTCAAATACCCTTGAAGCCTAATAAAGTCAGCATTTCAGTTTTCTAGTTGCTGTTTTTTTACATTTTATTTTAATAGCCCAGTTTGCTGGAGTGCAAACAGCAGACTATATGCCTTTTAAATTTGTTAAACGTATTCAGTATACATTTAACATCTGTCTGATTTCTTCATTATGAAATCTCCCCCTCTGGTGAAATCAATTTATTGACTTTATTAAAATGTCCGTGTAGTGTTTTTATATGCTAGAAGACATATCGTGACCAAAACAAGCCGTCACCGTCGTGACTGAGCATTTCCACCTTGAAGCTGCAGCATACCGATGACAGACTCAAACACATGGATTTAGGCAGCCAGGTTTCCAGATGTAACAAGAAGCTTCCCTTATCCTTATTCTTCTTCAGAGTCCGTGGCTGAATTACTCCAATATTACAACTTGCCATTGTGTAACACAGGCTAGTGTGAACTTCAGGTGGGTGGTGGAAGAAGAGGTGGGGATCCATTTGCATGTTGATAAATCTAAACTTCACAGTCATTTCAGGACATTAAGGACTAATTTTGATTATTAAAGATGAGTTGCAAGGTTTTAAACAAACAAAAAAAAAAATCAGTGCTAAGATAGGAACTTTAAGTCGTCGGCTGCAGAAAGAGTGTAGACTCATGTAAACAGGTCTGTCTCTTAGTTGTCAAACTAACAAACATGAATTATTGATCTCCTCTTACATATGGCACAGTCAGCTGATCCGATGACATATCTAGTCTATAAAATCCACATTAAATTGCTTTCACAACCAACAAATAACGAAGAATTTATCCATTGATTTCAGACAAACACGAGTGCACCCCTCAACTTATAAAGTAGCCCTTAACCAGCTGAGTGTTCATCAGCTCATGACATCTCATGTGTCTTGTGATAAAACAGTGCGATACGTTTCTGAGTGAAAACGGTTAGAACTGTTATTAGGACTTTAAAGTGTTTTGTATTGTGTTTATGTACTATACAGCAGATATGTACCATAACATACTATATAGGAGAATTCATGTGAAACTGGTTTAGCACAGTCAGAAAAATCCGACATAAATGTGTTGGGATAAACAAGTCATTTAGCTGGTGTTATACTCCGCTTCTGTCCGCCATCTTCTGACACAAAGCAGTGACATTACGTTGACGTGTTTCCACCGATGTTAAAAACAACACTTAATTTCTCACCTTTCAGCCAGATTCTGATGTCAGATCCCTGGAATCAAATGCCATGGCCTTCATTCTCCTTTCACCAAATTGTACTTTTATATTCTGTTTTGTTGCACTACAGTATTCAGCAGTCACACGGGGGACAAATCCATCACAGAAGAGACAGAAACATCAGTATTAATTCCAGCAGCTTCAATAGACTGCAAGTCAATGCATTTACATTTTCAATTAAATTTTGATTAAACACACCTTTCATTTTATGAACTGGAAAATCTGTCTGTGCTGCTCCTCAGTATGCAGCCATATAAAAGTATCTATAAACCACGGCTGAATGCAACCGCTTTCAACTCATCTTGTTCTGAGCTTTATTGATAAGTGCTTTGTTAAATCACAAAAAAACTGAAATGAAAAAAAAAGATTTGAAAGGCTAGGGGTAATTAGATACAAGAGGATTTTCAGTTAGGACAGTTTTTTTTAAAATGTTTTAAACATTGTTTTAATGTTTTATTTTTCAGAACTGCTACCAGAAGGAAGCGGTGCTGCGGCCGGAGAACAACCAGGTCATCAACCTCACCACACGCTACACCTGGTCAGGCTGTGTGGTAAGAGCACACAAATATATGCGTCCGCTTTCCCTCAGTGGCATCTGGTCCCTAAATAGAAACTAAATCCAAACGGTTTTGTAGCTTCGTTTGACCTCTGACCCTGCTGTGTGGTAATACACAGTATGTGTGTGCATTACAGGGTATCACGCTGTTGCCCTTTATCACCACACACCTATTTTCATCTTTCCTCTTTGGTAGTTCAAAAAAAAGCATAGAAATATGTAAAAGAGGGAAATAATAAACAGACACAGACGGAGAGGAAGCGAGAGTCAAAGGCCTCTAATGTGTTTTCATAACATTTTTACTGATTTACACTTTTCCACTGTTGATGATGCGTCCCATCCGATCGCTTCATAAGCTCTGTCCTCCCCGTCAAACCTTTTAAAAAAAAAAAAAATACAACCTTTTCCCTCTTTTTCAATAAACAGCACGACGTGTTTGTTTATCACATTAGTAAGTGTAATTGCCAGCGTGACTCTGTTGTTGTTGAGGTTAGTGGAACTTGTTGCCACGTTTCAGGCAATATCGGGGTGTGAAATATGCTCACATCTCGATATCGCGAGCTCCCACACCCCTGTGATTATTCAGTGTGTCTCTGAGGTAAAATGTGCTACCTTGTTGGGATCCATACATTTCTTCTCTCGCAGGTGGAGGGAGATGGGAACGAGGAGGTTCTGAGCTGCGTGGGCGGCCGTAGTTTCCGCTCGGTGAGGGAGAGATGGTGGTACATCGCTCTCAGCAAGTGTGGGGTAAGCTCTGACCTCTGACCTCTCCCTGACCCCGCTACCTCTTCAGGTTTAGTACAAGGCAGACGACGTGGTGACGCAACTCTGTTATCACACAAACTGGCTTGAAGGCAAAGCCACTCAATTGTAGTTTGAATCTGTTTGTGTCCAGATAAACAAACGTCTTCACCGTCATCAGTGTCATTATTATCCCAACATCAAACCAAAAGACAGATTACTTCTCAGGCAGTAAAGTGGCTGAAACGTAGCTTTTTAAATGTCCAGAGTTATTTTAACTGTAAGCCGCAGTTTTAAATTTTTGCGTTCAGACCAAAAAAAAAAAAAGTAGTTTTCAGGTACAAGCAGCAGAATCAGATAATAAGACAGGAAAGCTTGGGCAAAAAAATCCACCCAGCATACCCTGAGGAAGGCCCTGAAAAATGCTGGATATATTAAGGCTACTTTTTGTGCTGCCTCCCTATAAATTTTAAATGAACTTGAGCATAATTTTTGTTGCCTGTATGTGCTTTCCCATTTGAGTGTTTTGCACTGGGTTATATTTCAAATGGCAGAAGCAAAGTTATAGAAACCGCAAGGAAACATAAACGTGTGATTTGCAATAGTCAACTGGTCTTTTGTTATCATGTTGCAGATCATCAGGACTGATCTCGAGTGTAGTATAACCGACACTACAAATGTCTGGCCAGAGTGCCACACACACTCCTGACCTCAGCTCCTTGTGCGCTACAACTGATCCTCTATCTGTGCATCTGCCTCTGGACTGGCTCTTGACACTCTGAAGTGCCGTCGTATCTCTGCTCCGTACCACAGTGCTGTCTACAACAAAGCACAGAGACTCTTAGTATGCAACCCCCGGCTTCAACCGTGCTAAACATGCCGTATCTAGGCTCCACTGTAGCCTATTGATTAGCTTGCTTTAGGGACATTTTAACGTTGTGTTGTCTCATAATGGGACTCTGTGTTGTACTAATAGTGCGCCGGGAGAAAAAGAGCAAAGTGGTAGCCGTGGTTTGTTGTTTGTTGACGTGAGTCTGGGCCGGGGCAGCCGGCGCAGAAACGGCGAGCTTGGATAATGATAGCTCAGCGATGATACATCCTCCTATGCTGAGGGCTTCTGTCAAGGACAAATCGGTGTGTGTGTGTGTGTTGTTTTTGTGTTCTACGTGTGCAGGCTTTTTATGTTTTCATGAAAGTGACTGAGGAACAGAGTAAATAAGTAAAATTTCAGCTGGATGTGTGTGATAGTGTGTCTGCCTAGCTATCAGTGACATGTTCTCCGTTACACCCGAGTCATGCTCCTGATTCTGTGTAATTGCGTGTGTGTGTGTGTGTGTGTGTGTGTGTTTGTTTTGCCAGTTGGGAGCGCTGGCTGAAGAGGGATATGATTAGAATGGATGCTTCCTGCAGAGTGTGGTTTAGTGTCACGCCAGCGTCCGCTGAAAGACACGCAGCCTAATGCTGTTGGACTCGAGTATAAAAGCTTGTCTCCACTCCTGCGGACATGTGCACGCTGCGTCCCACAGCCAATTTCCACCCCTCGTCTCTCACCGCTCGCCTTCTCGCTTCCGTTTCGCTTTCACACTTCTTCATCTTCGCTACCTCCGTCACTCACAATCTTTGGCTGTGTCCTGCTTCTCTTTCAACTCTCCGTCGGCAAACTGTGACACATTGGACACCCTTTCATATCTGTTTACCTTTGCATCTCCTCCTCCTCTCTGTTCGGCTGTCTCTAATTGTGTTTTTCCTTTCCGTCTCGCCATCTCGCCGGTTTCTTTTTCGCCTCTCGCTCATTTAATGCATTTTTTCTGGCACCTTCACTTTTATCTGCTGCTACATGTTTTGCTCTTTGTTCCTGTTTCTCTCTTATCCAGATCTCTTTTTCCTGCGCTTTCCATCTCAGTTTTTACCTCCGCTGTAGTAGGTATGAAACCATATCAAGCTCATGGGCTCTTAAAACCAGAGGATGTCTGCTCTCAATTCCCTCGCCCGCACAAAATGGTAGAATAAGAGACTGATCGGTGTTTAACACTTCCTGGCAATTTCACCTGATTAATCGCAGCAGGAAACCTCATGGCTGCAAATTATTATTTCATCAAGGAAAGAAAAAAAAAACATTAGGAAGTCATTATAAATAATATTTGGGTCATCACAAATTACAGCACAGAGAACCTCTGGCAGTCTGGACTAAGGCTTTATGTCTCATCTTAGGTGTTAAAATAACCAAAGATCACAAACGCCAACCCATGGTTGTCTTTTCTTCTCCTGACACAGAATTTAAATTATACATATAATTTCAGTTGTTATTTTACGGTTGCAAAATTGCAAATATCAATTTTCCATTTTGAACAAGTAACTAGCACATGTTTCTCTGGTATTGCCGTCTGTGTCAGAGTGTTACAACTTGTTGGAAGGAACTAATTAGACACTATTAACTGAAAATCACCAAACCAGAGCTGCTCAATAGCACAACGTCATTACTTGCTATTGACCTCAGCAACTGTCACAGCTTTTGGCCTTGAGGTCTCTTAAACAGCTGCAATGGAAAGGTTTGAATTGCTGTAATCAACTTCTGCCTTTTTCTTCTTCTTCTTCCTTTTTTTTTTTTTTTGAGCAAAACTGTTGTTAATGAAACAAAATCACCTCAGCAGGGAACCAAGGAAGAACTGAAATTAGACTTGCTTTAATGAGTGCAGGCTAAAAAAAAAAACAACCAAAAAAAAAAACGGCCAATCTTTCCCAGCTGTCAGCTTGGCCAAGAAACTCATCTTTATAGAACAAGCAGAGTAGAAACACACCCACAGCTACTGTATTTTCCAGGTTTCTGGCAAGAAATTGTAGACTATGACTCTCATAAAGACTCACAACGCGGCCACATAGAGGAGAATTATTCCTCTGTGCCGGATGGAGAGCCAGTTTGGACTTTAAATGCTGCGCCTTTTATTGAAACAAAAAAATCATTTGACAATGTTATGCTTCTTCTGGGAGATATATTCATCCATACAGGAAATAAACAGACCTGATGGTTTGTAGATTGTTGCTCATAATGTTCACCTGAAGTGCAATACGTAAGTACGATTCTAGCAATATACTGCTGTGGTGTATTATTTATATATCTCAAGACAACATCTTGTAACTGCAGCCCAAAAAATGTTCATTGTCTATTAATCTGTAATCAGACTTATTTTCTTGATTAATTAATTATGCATTTTGTCAGATTTTTGTGTAAAATTCCCTACATAAATTGATGAGGGTGCACGGTATTGACATGAAAGTTCTAGTTACATTTGACCAATACTTCAACATACAAGGTGGAAACTTCCATCCATCCATTATCTATACACCGCTTAATCCTCACTAGGGTCATGAGGGGGCTGGAGTCTATCCCAGCTGACTCAGGGTGAAGACAGGGGACATCCTGGACAGGTCACCAGTCTATCACAGGGCTACACTTAGAGACAGACAACCAAGCACACTCACATTCACACCTACGGACAATTTAGAATCACCAATTAACCTCAACGTGTTTTTGGACTGTGTGGGAGGAAGCCGGAGAACCCGGAGAGAACCCACGCTGTTCTGGGAGAACATGCAAACTCCACGTAAAAGATCCTGGGTGTCCTCACCGGGACGCGAACCGGCGACCTTCTTGCTGTGAGGCAGTAACAGTGCTAACCACTGCTACATCTTGCAGCCCCTGGAAACATCCAAATCATTCAAACTGAAGGGCGACAATAAGCAAGCATTTGCTCAAACAATTACTTAAATGTTAGTTACTGATCAGTCAGCTCAGTACATAATTCATGGACTGATCATTTCAGTTCCAGACAATATGTTCAGTATGTGAACAGGAGTGTAGTTTCAACCTGAAGCTGCTTTTCATGAGTCGGGTTTGCCCCTTATTTCCACTGAAAGGAAACTGCAATAGTTGTAATATAGAATAGAATAGAATAGAATAGCTTTATTGTCATCATACATGGGGGCATGACGAAAATATAAATAACTGCCTCTGGACGGTGCATTTAACAAGCTAAATTATCAACCATAAATAATAAAATTATTGACCTATAAAACAAGACTGTATTGAGAAAAGAGGCAAGATGTGTACAGTACAGTGAGGAGGTAATGAAATCAAATAAATCCAATAAAATAGATTAAATATGGGTAAATATACAGCATGCAACTTCAATATGACAATTCTCTCATGCACAAGCATGGTCCATTTTTTAATTATTTATTTTTTCTAGAGACGGTTATAAGTCTGTTGTTGAAGACTGTCATTGGCCTTTAGCTCTGGTTTTGACCAATTTCCGGATGACTTGGAGCACCAACTACATTCACTCAACAGAAAGCCTGACCCCACTCATACTTGGAGCGACTCCCTGCAGCCAGGTTCTAAAACCCTGCAGAAAGCCTTCCCACAAGAATGACAGCCCATTAAGGAACACTTTAAATAACAAAGTAAATTTACTGGTTGGTGCTTCATTACCTGTGGAAATAGTTGGATAAGGTGCTCTTGTCACTTTAGAGGAGCTTGGTCCAAGTTCTGGAAATAACCCAAACGATGTCACGGCGATGCTACCCGGGTTACCTCGGCTTCAAATTGGAGCCTTGGAAATTTGAAACGGAGAGCATGCATTACAGACTGACAGATTGGTTTTAAAAAGGCGTGATAGGGAATGTAGGATCAGGTGATTGCAGAGGTAAGTACGTCCTGATGAATCCCCCAACTTCATGAAACTGTAACAACACGAAATTATGATAGTAAGGCTGTGAGTGTGTGTGTGTTTGTGTTCTTGTATTTTTGTCTAAGGTGTGTGCATTAGTGGTTCAGATTCTGCATTTCACTCATGCTTGTTGTACTTTATGTTGCCACTGTTTCCTGTTTTTTTTAAAATGTTTGTCCCTGTATTTCTGTATTTTCTCTTTTAATGTAAAGCATATTCAGTTTGTGGAATGACGATCACTTAGCTACATGGTGTTCGGATGTCGGCACACTTTCCTCAGGTGTCAAATTTTCATATTTTTTTAGAGAAACACTTCGATTAGGTCGACTACACTCGTCTCCAAGCCGTAACCAAACATTTATCTTCCAGAGCCACACTCTCAAAAGACTCTCGGGAATCCTTTTTAAATGCAGTTATCCGCCGCCCGTGGGATCACAAGTTGTATAAGACTGTACAGATGTTCAGGTGAGAATATCTTCAGTGTGTAATATATCAGCACAGTAGATCAGAAGTGGGGTACCTTTCATAACTGAAACCAACCAGCAGCCCAAAGCTCCTCCTGTGCCTCCCCGTCGGTCCCACAGAGCGAGAATTCCTGCTGTGAAGTGCCACTTCTTCCCTCATCTCTCCTTTCTTCCCTTTGCACCCTTTCCCTCTTTATATTCGCTCCTTTTTCTTCATTCTGCCGTTCTCTCTACCTGTATTTTTAACTTCTTCTCTCTCTCTCTCTCTACATCTATCTCTCTCTTTATCTTTGTCTCCTTGCTCTTTGTGTCTGTATTGATTTTGTGGCAGTGCACGCTCCATGCTTCTCGCCCTTTTTGATAGAGGGAGTGAGATGGAGTCTCAGGCTGCCAAATGAAATCAAAGTCCTTTTTTTTTTTTTTTCCCTTTCCTCCCTCTGTGTTCCTTCGCTCCACTGCAACAAGCGCGAACTCCATTGGCTTTGAACTTGCGTGTGTGAAATGAGCTCTCTGTGCTCTGATTGTCAACCCATCTCTGTGCCCTCTCTCTTGTTCTTTGCTCCCCATCACCTCCCAAACTCACTTTAGTTTGATGCTTTTTGTTTGTGGGATTGCCAGAAATTAAGAGTATTCCAGCAGGGACTTTTCCCACACAGGTGTGTTCATTTCTTCATCTCCTCTTTCTTGCATACTTAAATTTCCATCGCATTGCAAGAACATCAGATTAATAATCCACCTAAGAAATCATTTATGCATGTCACACTATTAATAATTACAAACAAGAATACTCAGAGCATTAAGTCAGTGAAAACTGTTGCTATGGATATGGTTCATCCATCCTTCCTGTTAATCTGGGTCATCTTCACATTCGCAGCACAGAAGGCAGAGCAGCCTAGATTCCTTTTTCTTTCTCAACTAACTTCTTCCACATACCTGGGGATCCTGAGGTGCTTCCAAGGCCAGCTGGGAGACTCGCTCGCTACATGACACAATTACATGCAGCACTTATATCAACAGCGCGCTCCTCCCCGAGGAAAATTGGGGTGTTTTTGTCCTCTTGTAATCGGAAAGGTTGGAAGGAAAATCCGGGGCCTGTTGTTTACGCCGTGGTGGGCTGTGATATTTTCTATTTTCTGGCGATGCAACACACCCATCTCATTAAAGTAAATGACAAAATTATGCCGCAGCACAGAATAACAACCCATCCACTGAAGTCAGAGGCTGTAAATTCTATGTGGTGTGAAAAATGGACATCAGTGGACATTTTCTGCTGCTCAAGTTGATTAATTAGAGAACTTTGAAAAGCCGGCTAATGTGTGGATGCTGGGATGTGGGACAATGTGAATTTGCTTCACTTGGAAATGACCACATTCATTTTCTTAAAAGATGGTTTAGATAATTTCACACTGTTTTGGTGCCCTTTTTTTTATCTGTTGCAAGATGGGGCTGAATTTCTGATGTTGTATTCGGGTTAGTTACTGTTCTGCTCTGGAGTATTTGTTTGACTTTTTTTTTTAAAGAAAATTTATGTGTATTCTGGACAAGAAAATTGTCATTCACTATAGCACTTAAAAAAACAAACTGCTGCTCAGACTTACCGGCTCTGCAGTACGGTTACTGACATCACTGTAATATGGTTATCAATAGTACAGTCGTGACTTGATAATCAACCCCTAACAATCCAAAACCTTGGTATCTGACAGGTTTTTAGGAAAAACGAACAGAACCCATTAAAAACAGCCTTAACATACCGACAACCTTGGATTCTGACTCCGACATGACATTTTATGTCGCACATAAGGATAACGGCGTATTATCAGACTGAACAATCCGACAGATTGGCTACGTTCAGACTGCAGGACTTAATGCTCAATTCAGATTTTTTTGTGAAATCTGATTTTTAGCGAGTTCGTTCACATTTCCAATTAAATGCGACTTGTATGTGATCTGCTGTGAGAACTTCATACGACCCAAAAGTGTCCTGCATGCACAGAAGAGGACACGACGACGTCACACGCAGCGAGCGTGCTCAGTATTTACGGAAGTAAACGTGGATGATAACAATGGAGCGCATCTGCCACTCCCCTGCAGCCACTGATGGTGGAAACAGACGTGTGACCACTAACTAAACTAGCATCAGCAGCCAAATACTGCCTGTGCATTCCGGCCACTTCCACCCTGGGGGTGCGCTCCAGCGGGATGGAAATGGCCCGAACAAGAAGGCATGAAACCCAGCGATGCGTAGTGTTCTAACAATACACTAGTTATTACAACAACTACAAACAATAAATATTACCAACAAATGAGCCTTCAAGCATCAAGCCATCCTTGTATCTTGACCTCCGTCTTGAAAATCCGACAGCCTTGCTATCCAACATGAAAGAAGATTTTACATTTAGTGTTGGATTGTTGAGCCAGGACTGTATAATAGTTACTCTCCTCATAGTTTTATTTATTTATTTTGATCTCATAGACAACACTCTCCCCACTGCTCCCTCCCGGTCCTGTGCATCCTCCATACATGTCTGAACTCTCTGTGGGCCTCTCAACCCCACGGACTGTTCCTCCTCTGTTAAGCTGTGACTTTATCCCATCAGTGGTTCAGGACTTTTGTGAAATAGTTTGTTAAAAGCTGATGAAAACCTAAGTACTGACTAAGAGAATATGTTATTTTTTTAAAAAGCTGTCCTTATGCAGACATACAGAGTTATCTACATGATATACTCCCAAGTAAGATGTTTCAAGGCTGGATTTTAGTAATTTGTGTGTTCAATGACCTATTTCTGACATTCAAACTCAGGTAATATTTAGGATTTTATATGAAAAAAAAAGTCAAATGAACTCCACCTCAATTATTAATGATTCTTCTTCGGAAACCACTCTTGTGTGTAAATGTTTGCTGAATATTTATACGAAGATACGACGATGTTATGATATTGGATTTCACTTCTCCAGACTGAACCACACAGTCCTGAGTAAAACCCTTTTAATTTCACAATGCTTAGCCATCTGGGTGATCCAACACTCTGAGGTTATTACGATTTAACCGTAAAGTGCTGCTCGGACCTTTTTTTTTTTTTTCTTCCAGAAGGTCCTGCAGATCTCAGTTTTCATTATAATAAAAAATCAAAATGTCCTCGGATTGATGGACATCTAAAGAGTCGTTCAATACCACTTCAGCGTACAGAATCGTCCACTACAGCATAAAATATGAAAGTATACACACCACAACACCTTAACAGTGCCAACAGAGGTGGATCGTAACGAAGTATGTTTACTCAATTACTGTGTTTAAGCACAGATTTGAGGTACTTTGGTATTTTCATTTTAGCCTGATTTATACTTCTATGTCTTTGCATTTCAGGGGGACATATTTTTCTTTCTGCTTTCTGTGACAGCTTAAGTTATATTTTTAATGATTAAACAAATAGTTTTGAACCTCCTGACAACTTACAAACAGTTGTGTGTCACATTAAAGGAGTTTTTAACAGCTCAAATAGTGTTTTTTTGCTTTAGTGGAAGATCTTTAGAGTTTCCTGTTTGTTTCTTTAAAAAAAAAAAGAAAAAAAAAGAAGAAGCACTAAGCATGATTAGCATGACATGGACGACAGAGAAAGCTCAGCTGATCCAATTTCCCACCAAAAATCAAAGACGACAGAAAATGTACACAAGCTAAAAGCACAGTTGTGTAATTATGTATAATTTATGTCTTCTTTCCTTTGCCATTATTCCTTACAACCCCTCAGATGCATCTGCTGTCCCTACATATAAAAAAAAATATGTATAAAATAATTCTAATGAAGTCCACCTCCAACCAACATCCTCTAACCTAACCTCGCCTCTCTGTCTTCTCCTCTCCTCTTGCAGGGCGATGGCCTGCAGCTGGAGTACGAGATGAAACTGACCAATGGCCAGTCTTTCTGGACGCAGCATTTCTCTGCAGATGAGTTCGGTAAGAGTGATTAGACAGAAAGATAGAGATTACAGGACGAATCGCTGATGGCACGAGCCAACACCACTTAGCACGGCCAATAAAGCACACTGAACTGAACAAATTACAATAATGAAGGGACGGCTGAATAAATTAATGATGATAGATGAACTGAGAGGGAAGCATGAGAAGAAGAGGCCTGCATATCTTCTAAATGAATTATTCCTACATTTCTAATATTTCCCCCGCTCTTCTTCTGCTGTAACTCCCCGGTTCTTTCTCTGAACTAATCCAATATCCTCATCAAGTGTCTGCCTCTGCTGACTTCTCATGTTTGTTTCTCTTATGCCCTCCTGTTGTCCCTTCTTGTCTTCATCTTGACATTTTGTCATTTTACTTTTTTTTGCTTATGAATCCACTGTACATCTGCCTCTCCATATTCACCTTTTCCTCATCAATTATTCTTTCCCCTCTATCACACCTCTTCATGTCGTCTACTTTCTCCTCCCCCATGTTCGCAGGAATCTTGGAGACGGACATTACGTTCCTGGTCATCTTCTCCATGGTGTTCCTCCTCTCATGCTACTTTGCCTGTAAGTACCGTCTTCTCTTCTTACTCTCATCTCTCTTTCTTCCTCCTCGAGATGATTTATTCCAACTTTCAAAGCCCGCAGCGATCATTAAGTGCCCTTCACGTCAGATCTATTATAAAATCTACATGTTTTCTTGATGGGATAGGAGTAAGTTCTCGTGTTTCTTTCGATAAGTAGAGGTGTGCCTATTTTCTCCCCGGGCTGAGAGTGTCAGAACAGCAACACAGAAGCAGGAGTGAGGAGATGATGAGAGCGGGGCTTGGTTTTTATGTAAAGGTAAATGGTTGAATGGAGAAGTTAGCGGCAGCTTTAAGGTCACTGAAGCGAGTTTGTCACATGAAGGTCACAGCTGAAATAACCCCCCGAAGCAGCGGAGAGCAGTAGCTCCGAGGAAAGAAGCAGTGTAGCCGATATTTATTTGGTGTGGCTCTTCTCTCTAAACCACTTATTGATCCAGGGACCCCATGAAACAGTCATGAGATTGCGGGTGAAAGATCAAATCACAGAATCTTTCACAGCGGACGGCGCTGACCAGTTGCCATGGAAGTGGAGATGATTCAATTTCAGTTTTTCTAAGCTCTTTGCAGACTCTGTGCACTTGTGGTGAGATTGTTTTGTTAGTTTCTTTTATTTGATTATTTAATACATGAACTCCAGAGTGGTCGTCCAGTTATTTTGTAGGTAAATGTCTACAGGAGTAGCTCTGCCTGCTTTGGTGAGGTTGTAGTGCTTTGGTTGAAGATTGAAGACTGTGAAGGACCTGCTGTATGTCTGTGTATGTCTCTTCTGACAATCTTATTAGGTTATTCATTACGATGGAATATTAGGGCCACATTAGGAAAAATATTTTTCCACAGACTTTGAGAACAAAGTCGTAATATTACGAGAATAAAGTTGTAATTTTACGAGAAAAAAAGTCGTAATTTTACAAGAATAGAGCCGTAACATTTCAACCAGTTGTTTTAGAAGAGGAAAGTTGGTAAAATGAGGGCCGTGGAGCATTTTGGGAAGTCGTACTTCAGCATCGGTTTCACAAACCAGGAGATACGTCGTCTTTTGGCGCATCAGCACCACATTATTGTTAGTATCACGACCTTGAAAAGAATCTGCATCTATTCTGAAGAGAGAACCTTCAGAATAGATTCATTTTCTTGCCCCTATTTATTTATTTTTTTTACATAATTTTTTTGGCCTCTTTGCCTTTATTGGATAGGAAAGAGTTGAAAGAGAGACAGGAAAGTGGGGGAGGAGAATGGGGGAAGGGGTTGCAGCAAAGGGCCATGAGCGGGATTCAAACCCATGGCAGCTACATCGGAGACTACAGCCCCTGTACATGGGTCGCCAGCTCAACCAAGTGAGCTATAGCGGCGGCCCTTCTTGCCCTCATTTTAACAACTTTCCTCTTTTAAAACAACCGGTTTAAATGTTTATTCTCGAAATCTATGGAAAAATATTTTTCTTAATGTGACCCTTATACTCTGTCGTAATTCATTGATATGGAAGTTTTATTTAATTTGCTGAAATGTAAATAAAAGAAGGATGTAAACCTACCTATGAAGGAGTTTTGCAAACAGAGGTGGAAAAAAAAATGGCTGAAAGGGGGTTGTGAGATTTTTTTCCTTAAAGATTCTGAAGACTGAAGTCAGTAGAAGTAGAAGGTTTCCTATTTGTGGAGGATACGTTCCTTTTAACAGCCATCATTAGAGTGCCTTCGACAAAGTTAAAGGAGGATCAAGCAGTACTTGGCCGGCCAAGTCCGCGGTTATAAAGCGCAGCCACGAGTGTGTATGAACATTTATGACCCTTCCTCCCTCTATAAATCCCCGCCCTTCAGGCTACTGCTGTTTGCCGGAGTGTTTGGGTAGTAAAATAGCCTGGTTAAATACGCATTAGGAATACCTCCTCTCAGATTAGGTGGAGGAAAATAGAGAAGATGTATCAGGCCTCATCTGGAGATGGGCGTCATAAGATGGATGCATACTAATGATCAGCTCTCGCCGTTTATCTGGCCCGTTTCTTCTTGTGTTTTCTTCTCTCTGTGTCTGTACCTCTCTCGCTCTCCTTCGCCATCTGTTAGCATATCTCCATCCTTTTTATCTCTATTCCCCCAACACACACACACACACACACACTCTCACACACCTCTGTCACCTCTATCTCATTCTTGTGTGTGCTTTTTTTTTTCTTCTCCCCCTGCAGACAATCTGAAGGGAAGACAGCTTCTTCACACAACCTACAAAATGTTTATGACGGCGGCAGGTGTGGAGGGTGAGAGCTTCTGTCTTCAACACACATCATAAGACACACATTGTCATAACACAGCTCACACACACACACACACACACACACACACTCTCAAGCTGACAAAGAGCCTCTCGCATGGCTGCAGCATCTCATACCTTAATCCCCACTTCAAGAGCGGAGATATGATCGCCCTTATTAGCCTCTGAATAGGAACTATCGCAAACAGTCGTGCTGCGCTACAGTGTTCAGTGGAGCATACTGTTACTGATGAACACTCTCTCTCTCTCCCCCCAACACACACACACACACACACACACACACATCCTTTCCTCCCGTCTTTCTTCTTCCTCTTATCTCACTTTCTTCTTTCTCGCTTGCTTGTCCCCTCTCTGAATCTCTTCTCAATTCTCCTGCCACCCTTAAGTTCTCATTCACGCTCTCCTCCCACTTCTTTCAAGCCTTCTGCTCCTTTTATCCTTTTTTTTCCCCCTCGTTCGTTCCTCTCCCTCTTCTTCTCCTCCCCCTGCCCATCCTCTTCCCTTCATTATCATTTCTTGGCATCTTCTGTTCCACGTGTATTCTTTCTCTCTTCTTGCCTTTTTTTCTCCTCTCCTGCAACACCTGCTCACCTATTTCTCCCCACCATCCCCTCCCCTCCTCTTATTTTCCCATTTCTCCCCTCTCTGCTTCTTTTCCACTTGGCAGTGCTCAGCCTGTTGTTCCATTGTGTCTACTGGGGCCTGTATGCTAGAGATGGAGTTGGCAATGGCAGCTTGAAAATACTTGGTGAGTTCTTTTCGTGCATCGGTCACTGACTGAATAACTGACACTACCTCTGCACTGGAAAATCACTCACTGCCTGAGCAGAATGAACGAGTGGACGATGATGGATGTGTGCCGCTGAGGAAATGTAATAGCTGGTTTTGATGGGCATAGGCAGCATCATGCATGATTTTATATGACTGTGTGTGTGTGTGTGTGTGTGTGTGTGTGTGTGTGTGTGTGTGTGCGCAATATGTGTGTGGTGACCTGATTTTATCATTCCCCTCTGATATTACAGTTTCGGAAACCATAACCTAATTACCCTTCTGTCTTCTCTTTCTCATTTTCTGTCTCCCCACCTCTCTGTCCATCTCCAGGGAAATTACTGTTCTCCGTCAGTTTCTTGGTGTTCCTTCTGATGCTCATATTGTTGGGCAAAGGTTTCACTGTCACCAGGTGGGGAGGGGTTGCACTTTTTTATGTGTGTGTGTGTGTGCACATGTTATTTTTTTTTCTCCGTGCTATTTGTGTGTGTGTGTGTGTGTGTCTGCCACGGGTGTGTTTATGCTGTCACAGACTTTCCCTGGCGGGTTTCGCCGTGACAGTCATAGCACTATCTCATGACGTGACAATGCGAGGCGTCAGTCAAAAAGTCAGTTAGAAAGCTGTTACCGACAGCGTGAACACCTGATGTGTCCAGGGGGATGTGACAGATGAATGCTGCTCCGGTGTGAACTTTATGTTGTTTTTGTGGTTTATCTGAGTTGAAGGATCACCTTTTTGCCCTCGACAGATTTTTGGTTCGCTCACTGTGTTGTTTTTTTTTTTCGGCGAGGCTTAGTGATGGACGTTCACTTGGGTCAGAATGCACAAAAAAATCATTACGAATGTTCTTCTTCACTTTAACGTTACCCTGTTTCACTTAAATTGATAAAAGCCCTACTTGCCTGTCAGTGTTTCAGTTGCACTGTCTATCTGTCTAACTGTTATCAAACTGGAAACACATTCCACATATTTTAGACATTGGTTTCTGAGTCAGTTTAATGTGAGAGAAAACAGTGTTAAAGTTACTCACACAATTGTGCTTTCTTAAAATTCTAACCAGCTTGTTTACCAGGCAGCTCACAAGGTCTTTAGTTTCGATTCACGATGAATCATCGTCGAAACCATTTTGCATACTTTGAAGGTTGGTTTCTGCTTTGGGCTGACTGGAATCCACATAATTTTTTTTCAAACTTAACTCTGAATGGAGCCAAAACTGATCTTGCAAGATTTTTAAGCTGGTTTTCTTGACTCTAGGACTATATCCTCCTCAGGGTTCAGAATATTCTGTGATCTCTAGACCGAACCCCAGTGAATAAACTCAAAACTGCATCAGTGTCAAGCTAAAAACATGTCTGTTTATCTGCCGGATCTGATCAGATGACAGTTTGGAGATTAACAGTCAACCACTTTGACATGTTTTTTTTTTTCTGGTTGTGGTGATGAATCAGAAAAAAAGATGTTTAAAATGCTGATAAAGGCTTAATGCTACTACTTGCTGATTCCTTCAGATAGAGAAGAAGTAATTTCTGCTTTTGCTTTGTCCATGAGCCTGCAGCCAGTTTAAATTTATAAATAGCAGAGAGTTGAGGGCACCAGTTTTTTTTTGTTTTTTTTTGTGCTGTGTGGTGTTCAGTAGCTGCTTTTAGATTAAGTTGTCTGCTTCAGCATAAAGAACTAAATGCATGATTCTGTGTGTGCTTCCACATGCACCTGTATCCTTCCTTTTCACTTTGTGCGTCTTTGTTTCTTATCTTTCTGCAACTTGTGTGCAACCTCTGACCCTCTCGGTTTATCCCTGTGTGTCAGGGCGAGGATCAGTCACAGTGGATCTGTCAAACTGAGCATCTACATGACAGTCTACACAATCACCTATGTCATCCTCTTCATCTACGAGGCCGAGGTATAGTATACGCCCACACTCCACAATAGTTCACCAATGTATTTTCAGCCATGGCAGCAGTATGTCATGAAATTTCAGACAGCCCTTCATTGTGCCCAGAAAATGATCACACCATCTTTGGTGATCCCTTAACTTTTCCACCACCACCGCCCCCCCATGACCCTGACACTTGAGGTGACGTGCGTGGAATATAATAGCTTGACAACTATTGGGCGAACTGCTGTGAAATTTGGAAGACACTTTATGAATTGTAATAAGCCAGATCGTCTTCTGACTGTTCATGTAGCAACACCATCAGGTGGAGTTTTTAAATTTGTCCAATGCTTAAGTCTACAGCCTTGCAGTGGCACTAGCACGGCTATAAACTCTTAGACTTGCTTGCCTGGGGGGAAGGTTTCCAACTGTCTTTATTAGATATTCACTTCACAGTCATATGAAGAGCAGCAAACCCTTATGTTGTAAGCAGCTTGTTAAATAATCTAAAATCTTCACTAATTGTCCAAATTGTTGTCAGATAATGTTCAATTTGTTGATTAATTTGCCAACCATTCCAGCACTAGTTGGCACGTTGAAAATATCTTGGCAATAATATCTCTTCCAAGCATTTCAGTTCGTCAAATATGAACATGTACTGCTTTTCTGTCTTCTGCTGTTTAATATGGAAATTTAAAATGCTCTGTGTTTGAGAAGCCAGAACAGTTCATCTAAAGACATTATCTTAAGCTTTAGAAAACTGGCGATAGGCTCTTTTCACCAGTTTACTTTATAGCCAAAGATTAATCAATTAATTGGGGGAAATAATTGACAGGATTATCAGAAATGAAAATAATCTTCAGTGCCAGCCCTAATTTTCAAACTGATAACATGACATGTGCAGTAGTCCCTTAAAAAGCCTGCTACAGATTTTGAATCCTGACAGGAACAACCAGACAACTCCCATCTGCAAACACAACTGAGAACATTTATGACACTTACGGCTATACCTGAGATAAGAAATATTATAGCAAGGATCTATACCTGGGACTTTAAAGCTAATCTTACTAATCAGCATACAGTGTTATATTATTTATGATGCCTCTCTATGTTCTGTATCTGATGATGGAAATGAATTTGACCAGCTATGATGTTTAGCATATGAACTCATAAATGAATAACGCTCTCAGGATTAGTTACATACATCCCCTGCATAGTGCAGAGACTTCAGGCCAATCAGATGTACAGATGGCATATTTAGGGACCATGGATTACAGTCTTTGAATACAGCGCGGTAATGACCCAGTGGGAACAGTGCAGCAGAAGTATCCTCGCTATATTTAACAGTGGAGCCTATAGCCATGTCTCACACTGCAATATGTGGATCTGAAGCAGTATAATTTATCTGCCGCCTGCCCTCTTACATGGGCCCTGCTATTAAAGAGCTTAAAACTCAGGGGAGCTCCTGCTAAAAATAAGCTAAACTAGGTTACAATTGAAACTGAAATGAAGACATGAAGACTGTTCCTGGTACTGAGCCTGCAGTTGGGAATCTGTCAAGCTCTGGTTGGCCGGTCGAATCCCAAGAAGCTCTACACCAAGCCGTGGGACCTATGCATTATGTAGCAGGAGTAACCCTGTATGGCTCATGCTATATACTCACTGGACTGTGAAATGCAATCTCGTGTCCACGGATGCACGCACACGGGCCAAAGCTACACCCACAAAGTCGCGCACATACACCGAAGACCTAGTTGAGGAGATGTGTCAATATCCGAGGTTCAAACAGAAAGCTAGGAGCTGAGCTTTGGGTTGGTCATTGCAGTGGATCCCTGACCCATCGGCAGTCTTAACAACTAGGGCACCGGCTACGACCCACAAACATTTCTTCGCTCCACTGTGTAAAAGTTTTGCTTGATTTTCGTGTGTGTTTTCATCATGGCATAACGCCTCATGTTCTCGTGCCAGTTCTTTGACCCAGGCGAGGTGCTGTACGCCTACGACAGCCCTGCAGGCTACGGACTGATGGGCCTGCAGCTGGTGGCTTACGTGTGGTTCTGCTACGCCGTGCTGGTCTCTCTGAAACACTACCCCGAGAAGCAGCCCTTTTACGTCCCTTTCTTCACCACGTACACGCTATGGTGAGACCCGCGCAGCTTCCCCCCCCCGGCTCTGCCCTCCCTGCAGATAATAGCACCTGAGCTGGAGATTGCAGGAGTAGAAAAATACACATTACTCTGTTTGAGGTCTCTTCAATTTGAATAATTTATGCAGCTCTGTAAAAAAAAAAAATGTGCACAAGATAGCTGATGCTTTAGCTGTCTGGGAATGAAAAGTTGTTTATTTTACACTATGCATCTACAACACTGTGTGCCCAACCTCTGTGCTCAACTTGCACTGTAGATAATTGTGCTTGAGTGAATGATTGCGAGTGGAAAATATCTATTTTTCCTCGCTGATGAGATCTCTTCCATTAGAATAATTTATGTTCCCATATATGTGTGCGAGATAGTCAGTCCTTTGAACTGGAAAGAAGTGTTTTTAATTTACACCGCCCTGAGAAAACGCTCATATATCCACTGCTTAGTTTCTCTGTCCTTTACCCGCTATCTACAGTGAAGGGTAGATTACAAAGACCAATATTATCTGTGTATCTCTTACTCACTGCAACCATTATCTCCTTCCTCAGTGTCTACATCTCTCCCCTCCTAATATCTTTATTACTCGCCGCGCTTTATTTTTCTGCTCTCTTTGTGCCCTTTCTCTCAGCGTTCTTTCTTGTGCTTTCACCTCTCACCTTCACACAATATTTTCCTCCCCCAGGTTCTTCGCCGTGCCCGTCATGGCTCTGATCGCCAACTTTGGGATTCCTCGTTGGGCTCGGGAGAAGATCGTCAACGGCATTCAGCTCGGCATCCACCTCTACGCTCACATCGTCTTCCTTGTTCGTACCACACACACACTCGCGCAGACCCTTGCACTGCTGCATAGTTCACATTATACAAGTCATTATTGCCACTGTCAGTCATACATTATTCACTATCCTTGAGTCACAACGGCCTCATGCTGATTGTCTCCTCCACACATCATTATCTATCTCTTTCTCACCTTCGACACATTGTTCCTTACTAATGGGCCATACTGCTCATGCAAATTTCCTTTCATATTCCTGCTCACTGAATGCATTGCACTTCTCACTTGAACCTCACACGCCCTGGCTATGTGTTACCTGCTATATGCTGTGTATACAGTTCATTGACTATATATATGTAGAAACGTTGTTCTCCCTTTGTCTCTTAGGTTATTACACGACCTTCAGCAGCCAACAAGAACTTCCCGTATCATGTTCGGACATCTCAAATCGGGATCCTACTCTCCAGTCCGAAAGGAGGCGAGGGGGCGGAGAGCTTCCCCCATCACGCCTACGGGAACAGCTCCTTCCTGGGAGATTCTCAACCCAACTTTACCGAACTCTTCTCCATCCAATCAGTAAGTCTACATTTAATGCCTGGTTGATATCCTCCATTAAACTTTATTAGAGAGAGCTGAACACACAGAAGAGCAAGTGAGAGCCGTTCATGTGAAAACTGTTATAATTAACTTACTGATTTCTGCCCATTACATCCACCTCGTTCATGAATGTGTGATGTAAGCAAATGGAGCGGAAGCAGGTAAATATGAGCATCAGGATGAGAGTTAAGCTGTAGCACTGTATGGGTTTGTACACTGATCAGCCGTGGCTTTACAACCGCTTACAGCTGGAGTGAGTGACATTAATCATCTTGTTAGAATGCGACGGTCTGCTGGGACACTTTGAGTCTTGGCATTCATGTAGATGTTGCTTTGACACGTATCACATACCAATGGCATGTAGGACAACATGCCCTGCCATATTGCAAAAATCTCTCAGGGGCAGCTCGAGAAACACACACAAAAAAGAGTCCCTCCAAATTCCCCACAGCCTACTTCTATCAAGCTACTATGGGACGTGTCAGAACAAGCCCAGTCCACGAAGGCCCCATCCCAGAACAAACAGAACCCAAAGATCTGCTGCCAGACACTACAGGACAACCCCAGGTGTCCATGTGCTGGTGATTCAGAGCTGTGTTTGGCAGCAGAAAGGGGGGATGCACACAATATTAGGCGGGTGGTTTTAATGTTGTGGCTGATTGGTGTACATCCACTTAACACTTGCCATCATGTTGCGATGTATGTGAAATGTAATTAGATCAATCTCATGGTTTAGTTGTAGCAACTGGACTTGCTTGAGTTCCTTGAAGACCTCTCATCCAAGAGGCTTCATCAGTTCTGACTGACTAGTTGGGAGTTCCAGATACTTGTCTCCTTAAGGAGCCATGAACGCTTGAGTTTCGGTTTCAGCTGGGAGTTTGTTGCTCCTCCCCCTCGTTATGTGAGTCGTTAGTGCTCCCCCTGCCACAGTGGTGTTCGTTAGGGTCTTTTGTGGCTAGGTGTGAATGTGGGTTCATCTTCCTGGGGAGAGTTCTTAGAACTGAGTTGTAAATAGGCGAGAGGTGATGCCTCTGACCTCCACCTCTGTGATATACTCTGTGTGGCTCCTTAAGGATATAAGTATCTGGAACTCCCAACTAGTCAGTCAGAACTCCTGGATGAGAGGTGAAATGTCTTCAGGAAACTCAAGCAAGTCCAGTTGCTACGATTAAACTACGAGAACCATGACCTGGATGACTGGGAATCTTCATCAGACACGTAATTAGATCAGTACCTAATTGTACCTGTTTTCTGGTGCTTTTAAAACACGCAGACTTCCCAACGTCAAACCTGAACTGCTGCCTCATCAAATAAAAGAGCCTTCATTTGGAAGGCATCAGTGTAAGAATACAATTTGCAAAAAAAGAGAATCATGAGAAATGACACTTTTTACCAGCCAATACAGCTGCACTGCAGCGTAGATATTTTGCAGAACAATCCAAACCATTAGAGAGAAGGTGTTCCTAACACTCATTTCTATACGGACAAAATGAAGGAAGGCATGGGTGATAACTCAGTTGTTGTTTATCAAATTCCATTGTATGATCTTGTTATCTAAACACAAACGGAGGAAATTAATGATTCATAGCGAGCTGCAGTTAAAAAATTATTTTAAAAAATAGCTTATGAAGTGTTTGTTTTACACATAGCAAAGATTTGTTCTCATAACAGCCGTGCGTAACAGTGGAGTACGGTTCATTGCTTTGAAATGTGTTTATTTATTTATTTGTTATTTTTGATCTCTATTTTTTTCCTTTCAAAAAAAATCATGTGTTTATTTTCATAATTAGTTGCTAAAGTGTAGTTTGTAAAGAGTAAAGTGATTAAACCTGTTGAAGCCTGGAGGTCAGGAAACCCAGTACACGTGTAATTTACCCCCAGCTGATACAACCGCCACACCGTTGGTGACCTTGAGAGCAGGCTGTCAAAATGTGAGGAACGGTGTGGCGTAACTGACACGGTGTCTGCAAGGTCCCACTTTCTGGCCCGTTCAACCCTCGGCCGTAATCTAGATCTGGAGGATCCGGACAGGTCAAAAGTGTAAAACTCTCATGTTCTTCCTTCCAGGATCCGGTGAAGACGGTGGAGGAGACGGTGGCCCGTAAAGGACCGGAAGTGCCGAGGAACAGCGAACAGAAGATCATCACCACCGCTGCTGACTTAACCTCGATATTGCCCCCACCTCCGCCCCCGATACCCCCACGCCCGGCCGCGCGTTCGCCCCCGCTGCCACCTCGGCTCCCCTCCTTCACCGAGTATTTTAGCATGCAGAGCGGAGGAGGAGGAGGGGGGCTTGGAACGAAGGCATGAGATGGAGAGAAAAGCAGGACAGCGGGAGACGGTGGTGTTGGTGGTGGTGGTGGTGGGGGGGAGGCACGAAGGCAACGGACAGAATGACAATACAAAGTAAAGAAATAGTCTGAGTGGAATTGAAGGTTTTACTGCTTAAAGACAAAAGGGTCAGCCAAAACATAAAAGTTTGGAAGGACGAAGAGAAATCACCAGAGGAGCGAATCCCTAAACGGTCCCCTTTTTCACCTGTGAATGGAAATGACCAGAATGGAGGAGTGAGGGGGGAAATGGCTGAGACACAAGTGCTGGGCTTGTTAAAGAATAAAGAAGCAATAAATATTTGATGTTGACCAGTAAAAGGCACACAGGGAGGAAAGATGACAAAGTGGATGTAAGCCAGAGCAATAGAATGATAGCTGTGCACAATGTGGAAATGAACAAAATTCCTGAAATACTTTCATTCAAAAATTCATGAGGCATTGATGGTGTGCCTGGGAGAGTTTGTAAATAGCTAAAATCGGTGAGAGCTACCACTCTATATAGTTTTATTTCAACAAAAAGGAAATTTATTTTCATGTTTTTTTCCGCATCATTAAATTCCAGTTGGTGCTGTGACCATAGAAAATTCTCACGCCATGACATGTTTCAAATTCATGTAAAAAAAGAAAAAAAAAAAAGTGCTTTTTTTGTTTTGTTTTTTTAAAGATGTTTCACACATTTTGATAAAGCATAGATATATTTACCCTATATGGAGTCTGTTGGGTTAATTTATATTCTTATATGCCTTCATTGCAGCTGGTTATTCTGGATTGATATGCTGATGTGTAACTGTAAAATGTCACGTTTACTGTGGGCACTTCTAGGTACAGTACTTGTAAAACACGCATGTTTGTATCGTATTCCCCGTTCAGCGAGCTGATATATGTACTCCACACGACCATACGATATTTGCTTATTGTGTGTATTGAAATCTGTACTTTTGTAAATACATACAATAGGCTTCCGTATATATTTTTGTTTGGATTGGATGACTTCCAATCAAAACCGTCTCGCGCTGTCTGAAACACACCACAAAGCCAATATTCTATCGGTTTTTGTTAATTTTTCACTGGAGTGCAGAACACGCCTGCTCAAAAATGTCATATCTGTGTGTGTAGACGTTGGTGAATGTACTGATGCAATACAGCACAAGGACAGGGGTAATTTTCAAGTTACTGGATTACTGTAGTACACCTTTGTCGAATTTTTATTTTCTCTCTTTGGCATCTGATCTACAATACATGTATGATTTTAGAGCAGGAGGCTGGCTTTTTTTTTTTTTTTTTTAAATATACAAGTAGCCTAATTCTTACATTTGTCTTGTACCTAAAACATGAATACTGTATTTGTTGGTTTTTCGTACCTCAGTGTTTATACAGTGCGAAAAGCTGAACAAATATGACTAGTTTTGTATCCCCTAATATTGAGCAATGACTAAAAAAAAAAAAAGAAGCCTTGTGGATGAACTTTGAAAACAGCAACACAACTATACATTTTGTCTGTCCTGCATGGAGCACTTTAATGTTCCTGGTCTTAGTCTGTTTATTCGTGATGATGTCACCTTATAAGACTGCTTTTAAACTTGTATTCACACCTCATCACAGTAGTATTCCACATGCACACACACCTGTAAATACAGTCCGACCGTCTGGACATTTTTAGGGAACGTTTCATGCTTGGCCGGCGTAATTTTAAACACAGATGAGAATAAGAGTGACATTAAAACTGAGTTTACCACCAGCTTTTGTGCAGTTCAAAAACTGTCCAAAAAAAAAGAAAAAAAAAAGTTAAAGTGCACTGAGAAATTCAGTGGTTTTATCTCGACCTTTCGTTTGCTTCTGGATTTAAAACAAGCTGTGGTTACCCGGCTGATGGTCCACAGATTTAATCGGTGGCAACTTTTTGCTGTCATGGAGTACTTTAGGTGATGTTAGGACTGTGGTGTGTAACTTGTAAGAAGTGTAGTCAGAGGTGTAACGTAGTCTGTGAAACCGAATGATACTTGAACTAGAGTACTAGCTGTTCTTTCTGATTATGTGTCTTGAGTTCGTTTTGGCATGTTTGCCATTTCGTCTGTTGTTGCCTGATGTTGCGGTTGCCATGAATTGACTGAAGACACAAGGGGGACTCGACAGGCTGACACTGTATCACTACTTCAACCTTGTGTATATTGACATTTAATTACAGGAATGACACACCGACTTGGGGAGACAACTCGAAGAAAAGAGATTATTGTATGCATGACAGAAAACAGCACAGCTTTTAGGCTCCTCAGAGCGATCTGGTTAAGAGCACATCACTAAAGCACCGTTCAAATGCATTTTAATGGTGTCAAATAATAATTCTAAACATGCTGTACATATACACTTTTTGCCAAATAATAAAAATATGGTTTTATTAGAGGCCTTGCCTGGCTGTGTGTGTTATTTGGCTGCTGTGGTAGTAAGCCAGTGTTGTGATCCAGTTAGGACGAGGGCACGTGTCCAAAGGAGTAAATCATATTTAGAATCTGTTCTCATTACAAGAGTCCATTAAAGTAAAACACCACCGGGACAGACTCTAGCCTGGTCACAATCTGATGTAGGCTAGCCTAATTGTTTCACAGTCACTGCCAATACCCCGGTCTGCAAATCCTAAACTGCAGAGACAAACTGAACTGTGTTAGGGACAGAATTTACAAACAGCTACACTCCTAACCAGTGCCAGTCTTGAGAGGACATCGTTTGTCACAATTTGTGATGTTCAGTTCCATTAATATTTAACTGTCTACCGTAAATCTGATGCAAACAGACTATAAATCTTTGAGGAAACGGCTCATCACTCTGCCAATCACTTGTCCACCAAATACCAAACAGAAAAGCACACTGTACATTATAGTGCAACATAATGAACCCTTTTAACTGCAGACAAGGACATGCAGCGTGGGGAGCACACGTGTGATTAATGACATTAACAATGACTCATTGTCCTTTGGCTGTTCTAGACTCATTGTTACCATCCAACACTGACTCTTTCACCACTCTGAACATAAAAAGCCTCTGACAATAGTTTACAGCGAGCAGTAAATTACATTTTAGACACATCAGCATCATTTTGTGATTTCTGACGTGAACTGTAAATTTCACTCGGCCTTCGGTAGGTCTGCCGTTTTGCCTGATGTTTCCACAGCTGATGTACTCGACAGGCTGAAGGTGCATCACTGCTTCAGCCTTGTGTACACTGACGGTACATCACTGTAAAGGCACAAAGTTCACAGTGGGACTAAATGGATTATGTATGGGACAGCGTGGCGTTGCAGTGGTTAGCACCTCACAGCTGGAAGGTTCAAATCTCATTCTGTGTGGAGTTTACATGTTGTCCCTGTACCTACATGGGCTCTTCTTCAACAAAAGCAGCACAAAGCTAGAGCTTTTTTCAGGCTGTTGGGATTTTTTCATTAGCATGTGCAGCAGATACAGCCAGTAAGTGAACAACAGTAAATAACTACAGTTTCTTTCATCAATTAAAATTCTGAACCGAAATCAAAACTAGTTTAAATTCCGGCACTGCACTAGGTCGTCTAAGAACGGGGGGGGGTCAGATGAAATATGCTGTCCAGTTGTGTTATAGGAAATGCAGGCTCCAGCGCGGCATCCTTTAAAGGCTTGGACCCTCTTTAGAGAAAGTCAGGATACCTTGGCCTCTGCTACTATGATTATTAGGGTCCGAGCACCCAAAAGGGTGCGAAGACCCTATTGGAACTGCTCGGATTATTATTATTATTATTAGGGTCCGAGCACCCAAAAGGGTGCGAAGACCCTATTGGAACTGCTCGGATTATTATTATTATTCGTGCCATCGGATTATTATTATTATTTGTGCCAAAGACACGCGTTTTTGAGGCCCTAAACATACTCGAAAACT